ATGGCATTCATACAGTTGACAGCAAACTCAAAGCCTTTATACACTTCCCACGTCCTACAACCGTTGATATCGTGTGTAATTTTCTAGATTTATCAAGATATTATCGTTCTTTTATAAATTAATATGTGACGTTATCATCGTTGCTGACTTAATTACTCAAGAAGGGCGCCATATTTGTCTGGAATGTTGAGCAGGAGACAAGTTTTATTGTACTGAAGACGGTATTTCCAAATGCGCCTGTTTTGGCATTTCCTGGCTACACTCACCCATTTACTCTGTGTACTGACGCCTCAAGGCAAGTTGTTGTTGTTGTTGTATAGATTGTCGGACCGTAGTCCGACACGGGCCTTTGCCTATAGGCTGCCCGTTTGGTGGTTCCGGCTGGAGCTCCAGGAGCAGCCAGACCGGATTGGGATTGGAGGTGGTCCCACCTGCAGATTGGAGGGATACTGCAGGTTGCAAGTGTGAGCGGACCCCCGATCAGTGGACGCTTACCACCGGCCCCCACTCTTGGACGTGGTCAGCCTTCGGAGTGGCGCGCCCCCCGAACTGGGGTCCGCACTTGCTGGGAGAGGATGCTTTCTAAGCTATCTGGGTGGTGGGTATCGTGTGATGACCCGGAGTAGGTGGTGAATGTGGTCTGTATGGGCCTTTCGGGTTAGAGTGGCCGCTGGTGTTGTGTGTGTTTCTTGGGAGATTTGAGTTCTGTTTCGGAGGCTTTGTGTGACCTCGCAATCGAGGAGATAGTGTTCAAGTGGGTTGGCTGCTGGCTCCTGACAGTAGGTGCATTCCGTGACGTCATTTCCGATCATCTGCCAGGAGCACTTGTACCCTAGTCGTAGTCGGTGAAGGCTGACTTGGGTTTGTCTTGGAGTTTTCTTGTCTGCGAAAGGTGGTTTCAAGGCAAGAGCTCGGCGATGTACTCATGCAGCTGGACACATGTGGGAAATATAGAGTGATTGGTTAAGCCAGTCACAAACTTAATGACGCAGAAACACGCTATTCAGTAATGCATCTGGAAACATTAGCTCAAATTAATAGAGTTATGCGTTAATGACTATTTTTAGAGAAAATGGAAAGTTTTACAAACAAATATTTGGCATGAGCATGGGTAATTTCTGCTCCTTTAGCCTATATTTACATGGGGTATATGGAGTTTTTTAAAGCTTGATTACTACCTCTAGCGTATTGCCAGATACCCAAAGAATGTTCTATACTACTGAGGGTATATACAAACACTTGTTGTCTTTAAAAGTAGGTTCTATTCTCGCACGGGAGATATAATTACAGTAGGACGCGGAAGCCTGTGGGCACGCCACCAGGACTCAGTCTTAACTACCTCTACATCTATCTATGTATTACTACGCGCTGGCCTGTACAGATGCCAGCATTCACAAGCTGAATACATAAAGTATAAATGTGATAATTTATATACATAATATGGTGCACAATAAATAGAATATTACATAGAATTAATACATGTTCTGTAATACTTTACTATACATAATTAATAATAGTAATATAACAATATACAGCTGAAGGTACTACTTTGTGTCCATATATATCATACACTACCCAACCTGGGTGATTTTATTCCTCCATGGTATAGATATGTAGATGATGTTCTTTGTCTTTGGCCAAGGAAACAGGGATCCACTGGAATTTTTAGACAAACTTAATGTTATTGTCCTTAGTATTACCTTAAAAATGGAAAGATAAATGCATGAATCCTTTTCATGGCTAGTGCTATTCGTCAATAATGGCTAGTGCCTACAAGAGAGCTCAGCCATGTTAATATTATGATTTTTAAATCGACTCTGTATCTGTGTTCTTCTGGCTAATAAACTGTTTCAATATCAATTCAATATCAATGTTGATTGTGAGCAGGTCTGTGCGCTTCTGAGGGCCGAGTTAGTGACCGAGTTAGTGAAGCACAGGGAAGAAAACTTGAAATTAAAGGAAGCGATTGCGAAGATGAAGGAGGAAGGCACGGGACAAGGAAAGCCCTTGTCTGGCGAAGACACAGGCCATTGGAGGGTTGTGAGGAGAGGAACAACCAAACTGGTGTTGAAAAAAGTCTCTTTTAGTCCTTTGATAGACGATTTGGACGTTAGCATAGTCAGGAACAGGGCTGATAAGGAAGGTACGAAAACCTTAAATGTTGGTGATTCCCAGGTACGGTACCTGGATAAGGTTTTCTGTGGTAAAAATCAAATATAAGATGAGAGTGTGTTTGCCAGGAACTGGGGTGAGGGCTATAGTTGACAGGATGGACAATATCTTGCATGGTAATAGGAACAAACCCATTATCTGCCTCAGTGCAGGAGGCAGCGATCTTGGCCTGTGTAGGAGTGAGGAGCTCCTTGATATGTTCATGACAGCTATAGAGCGTATTAGGGTGAAGGGAGGGATCCCTCTCATATGTGGTGTCCTACCTAGGAGAGTTGGCAATGAATCGTTGTCAAGGGCAGTTGCTGTCAACGTCCGTCTTGACAGATATTGCAAGTCAATATCGGTCCTCATGTGTCCAGCTGCACGAGTACATCGCCGAGCTCTTGCCTTGAGGCGTCGGTACACAGAGTAAATGGATGAGTGTAGCCAGGAAATGCCAAAACAGGCGCATTTGAAAATACCGTCTTCAGTGCAATAAAACTAGTCTCCTGATCAACATTCCAGACAAATAAGGCGCCCTTCTTGAGTAATTAAGTCAGGAGCGATGCTGACGTCACATATAGATTTATAAAAGAACAATAATATCTAGATAAATAAAGAAAATTAAACACGATATCAACAGTTGTAGTACGTGGGAAGTGTATAAAGGCTTTGAATTGCCTTGAGTGTGACCACTTACCTTAATGCGGTACTATTTGATCCATCCTCTTCTGTCTGTTTTATGTAAGGGTATGTGTGGCACTACCAATTGGGAACTGTGTAGGTTGTAAAACAACTGTAGTATGGTAAACCAGATAATTAATTACACAAGCAACACCCCTGTTTCAATATTCAGGGAGCGCCTGGTTTAGGTACAACGAGTACATCTGTTAAACCACCAGGACGAATCGTACTCAATGCAAATTCTCATGAAAGATCTTTAACCCTGGAAGTTTCGTAAGTCAGGCTACGTCAGTCCCAGTGAAAACCATCAGGTAAGCGAACAGTGGCCCTGATTGTTTCCTCATTTTGAAAAAAACAGAGCACCTGTTTAAACTGCAGTAACTATTATCCAATTTTTGCTGCTAATATCACACTGGGTAAATGAGTTGGTAGGGTCTGGGACACGGTGGGACTCGGGAACCATCTTCCTCGAAGAAGGAACGTTTGATAAAACATTCACTCTTGTGGTGATAAATGGAACAATATTGTGCCTGGCATGATGCGTCACGCCACCAACAGTGATAATATGCAGACTTGGCTGGACATATATCATGTTGCGTTTAAATGTTGGAAAACCAATTAAGCCGTCAGCTGGTAAGTTAAAGTCTTTGACTATGTAACACACTGGCGGAAATGGTTTACTACTTCTAGAAAAATTTAGAAGCACTGGTACCACTCCCGTAATCCAGCTGGCACCGGAAACTCCTGAGAGATCGGTGTCAGTAGGTCGACCTTATGAGAGTACGCTTGTGCTTGCACCCTTATCTATAGGCGTTTATTGTAAGACGTTTTAAGATTTACGGAATAGCTAACGCGTTAGCTTTCTTGGACTGTCATTAAGAAATGCGACATTATACCACGTCTTGGGAATAACTGTTGTACAACACAGTCTTCAGAAAAATATAAAACTAGGAGATCTATTATTTGAATACAATATGGAAATAAATAGTGAAGAAATATATAGAAAATTATAGAAAAAAGACAAAAAAGGAAAAAAAATCAATCAGTCAACAATAAATAAGAATAACAATAAAATCGGGCCCGTTGTAAAGGACTAGGAAAGCAGAAGAAACAACCAGAGAGTAGCTCTGCTCTACCCTTCTTCTCTCGCGGCTGTGTTCACATATTTGTGCACGAAATACGACGAATTTCAGGTTCGCTTAAGTCTTAATTTTTGCACTTACATAACTGTAATCAATTTGTTCACCCGTATTTAAAGTATCTTATGAGTAATGATATTAAAGTTTTAATCATATTTGAGTAGTTATCAATATTGATACACCAAAGTCACAACGGCTAAGCAGGTTTCAACGAGGCGCAATCCTTTTAAATTCTTTCATGCCTTACGCTTTGTTTTAGGTCCTATCCAATATACTAACGTATATAGAATTATTTGTATTATTATATCACAATTTTTTATTGCCTTACATGCCTCCAACTCTTCAATATGAATCAAAATTTTCTCTATAAGCGGCCATGATCCACGTATTTTCACCGGGAGAAATCGATAATTAGTTGTTAGCTATTCGTGTCTCTTGTGCCCTGCGAAAGGCCTGATCGACGTGTTAGCTTTTCCCTCTGAAAGTGTCATGTGCACAAATTAACAGCAGCCTCTGCGCGGACAGAATAGCTAACGCGTTAGCTATTCCGTGCATCTAAAACGTCTAACAATAAATGCCTTATATCTAGGGAAAGTACGTTGGTACCCACTCTTACTAGAACAGAACACACTTCTGTTTTCTTCAACGTCTCGATTAATGAAGCCGCGTGAGAAGTGTTGCTTTGCATTGTTACGGCTGTACTTCTCCCGCGCCTTGTAGAAGAAGGAGGTGTTCTTTCCCCGACTGCTTATAATATATCAGTATTGTTCCAGTAAGAGTGCTGCCCTCTTGTGGTCTGCGTACGAATGAGTTGTGAATGAGATAGTCTCATGCTTCATTGTACTATAGTGAATGATTTAGTCTCATGCTTCATTGCACTATAGTGAATGAGAGTGTTTCCATTCCTTATATGTATTGTAGTAGTTGACTTGTTTGTTAGATAATATACGGAAGTCATTCTGATTCCTGCTGTCACCTGTACAAGTTCCTCAACAACTGCAATTCTTCAAGTACGTGTTTACTTACCCCACCATGAGCGAAGAGAAACCAAACAATCTGATTAGGGAAATGAATTCTATTAACCTTAGTGATAGTCAGTACAAAACTGATAGTATGTTACATAAATTTGTCAGTGGCCCAAGGATAAAAATGCTTTGAAAGCATTTGAGGTAGATGTGGGATAGATGATTAGTGGGTCTCAAGCTCTTCTTTCGTGTGAGGCAGAGTTGGTGTGTGGATTAGTGGATCCCATGTTATTAACCTAACCTGATATTATTGAAAGATTTTTTATCTCCAATTTCTATATAATACCATGAAAAGCTCATTGAAGAAAATAATACCAAGGATAAGCTCATTGGGGAAAATTAATACCAATGACAAGCTAATTGAAGAGAATTAATACCAATGACAAGCTCATTGAAGAGAATTAATACCAATGACAAGCTCATTAGGGAAAAATATTATCAAAGACAAGCTCATTGAAGAAAATTAATACCAATGACAAGCTCATTGAAGAAAATTAATACCAATGACAAACTCATTGAAGAAAATTAATACCAATGACAAACTCATTGAAGAAAATCAATACCAATGACAAGCTCAATGAGGAAAATTAATACCAATGACAAGCTCATTGAAGAAAATTACTACCAATGACAAGCCCATTGCTGCTTTAATTAACACGGATTTAAAATCCGTGGATGCCCACCTCTTGCTTGTACAGACTCTTTATTTAACCCCTAATTTGCATGGCACAATTCTGTGATTTTTCTCCTTTAACTAGAAGTAGTGCTACCGTATACTCTACTTCTATTTTTATTCACAGTCCAATGTTCTCACCTCATGACAAATGGAACCTTTCCCAATATATGTAATTACACACTTTTGACCCTGGATAAACAAACTGAGCATTATTTGTACCTGATCACTTCTCAATTGTTTTAGTAGCGGATGATCCAAAGGTGACGTCACAGTGTAAATAATCATATCTGTGTTTGTATGTATGTCCGGCCTATGCATTCATGTTTATTCCTGCTGCAATCTGGTACAGTACTTTATACAAACAACATAGGTAGTAGGTGATAGGTAGTTGGCCATAGGTAGTAGGATAGTAGGCAGCTACCAAACAGGGAGGTACTACCACCTGGGAAGATATTGGAAGCAGAATGTATTGTCTAATGGTAGACCCTGTTGCCATATAAGAACATAAGAACATAGAAAATAAGGAGTCTGCAATGGGCCGGTTGGCCTGTGCATTGCAACTCCTGTCGAGAGTTATTACCACTCTCTATCATCCATGAAACTATCTAGCCTCCTTTTAAAACTTTCCAGCGTTCCAGCACTTACTGCAAAGTTGCTAAGCTTCTTCCACTCGTCTACTACCCTATTTGTGAACCAGTTCCTTCCTATCTACCCCCTAAATCTATGGCGTCACGAAATTTGTGACCAAGTCCCACGTTGCTGATCTGACTTTCTGCCTCATATAAACACAATTGCAGGGAATCAATTGTTTCTCTTACTATTGACAACACAACATACATATATTGTTTCTCACTTTTGATCGTTTTTTTATTTCTTTTTATTATTATTATTATTATTATTATTATTATTATTATTATTATTATTATTATTATTATTATTATTTTTACAGTGTAATCATCATTATTATTATTATCATTATTAATTTATTATTTCATGTTATTTTTGTATTTTGTATTATAAGTTTTATTTACTATGAATAATTATTATTATTATTATTAGTAGTAGTAGTAGTAGTAGAAAGTAGTAGTAGTGTTACATTTTCGCCCCCCAGGCTCCGATGTGGGTCATTGACCTGTGCCAGGGTGGGCTAATCCCCGTAAAAAAAAAAATGCTCGCACAGTGCTTACATAATATGTTTATGCACATAGTTCCACGAAAATGGTATTTCATGCACATCTTAATAATGTGTGATATTTTTTTTTCATGACCAACCCAGTGTCATTTTTCTTATATGGCTTCAGAATATTGTGAACCTTGCCAGCCCATCCTCATTTTTTGCCTTTAATTTGATTTTAACTTCAGATTTGATATATTTATTGTTTTAAATGTTAATATTGCTCCTGGCAAACTCAATCTAGTTTATGACAATTTAACATTATATACTTATCTCAATAAAATGCAAACCCCTTCATTTGAAGATATTTTTCTATATTATTTTTCTTCAGGTTTTATGATTCCCAGTTTTGCCATACCAACTTACAATCTCATTTTATCAGTTTTATGCAATTGTATATTCTTAAGCCCTGGCATGTTAGGCATTTAAGGCTAGGAAATCAGCACCTCAACCCCCAGTTGTAGATTCCTCAGTTTAGCTACAGCATATTTTATATTTCATAACATGGATAGGCATCCATAAGTATTATTTTATACTATGTGGTTAGTTTAAAACTCATAGAACTCGGAGGGTGGTAGCCGAGGAATTTATTAGCACCTGTCTAACAGAGAGTAATACTTATATAAATGTGGGTTACATAAATTAGGTTTATATAATTACATCACCCATGATAACTTTCCTATTAGACGTGAATAGTCATCAATTGAGCGCAGAATAATCAATTAAGTAGCCGGCTATCGGCAGTTTCATTCTCATCTCTAAGCCACTGAGATGTGTGCTTTAAGAAGCTAGTTTTACCTAAGCGTCCTCCCTTATTAATGCTTTTCAGCTCATAGCATTAATTACAGTAATATTTTAGGTATTGTGCAAATTGGAGAAAAGACAATTTGGGTTTGAAAATGCAACCCATAAACATTTATGAATGTTGCTTCCAGTTCGACTCTATTCAGTGATTCCAACAAGTAACCGAATTCGGCAACACCATGGATGGTCCAATAAAATCTGCAAAAGATTCTAAAATATGATGATTTAAAAAATGCAAATTATTTAGTCATTACAACGTTCACCTTTGATCTATTACAGCCACATTAACTACGAGTATGTCGCACCCAGTTGAGTCTTCACAATTAGTTCTTGAAGTGAGTTTTATTTGTTTCGTATTTACACAAGTTTTTTTTAAATCCATTTAATTTTGTCAAAATCACCATTTAAACATCATTTACTTGAGAAACTCAACGCATAGAAAATTAGTTTTACGAGCACTTTAAAGTTTATGTCGAGGTGTATAAAGAGATCAATAAAAGTATTTGATGAGTACTGCCCGAATGCAACTTGCGTATATATGTTGTTGAATTAACTCTTAGACGTGCTCTGGTGGAAGGAGTGCAACGTACTAATAGTGTTGATGATTGCACGAGTTATCATATTTTTAGTTCAAAATTATGAAGCCAAAGACTTCTGAGAGAAATCCCTCCTCCTCCAATCACCAGCCATCATCTAATATAAAAAACACGGCTGGCAAGAAACCCCTACAAGGCACACATAATTATTATACGAAATATAAGGGGAATTGAATTTCAGTTTGACCAGTGATGCCCTCTAAGTCTAATCTGTTTTACCCTCACAGTCTCCTGGAATGGCCCAAAGGAACTCGGTAGATAAGCAGTCCTCAAACTTGTCACATTTGAAATCACAACTCACAAAACGCCCTTTGCTCCACTATATATATATATATATATATATATATATATATATATATATATATATATATATATATATATATATATATATATATATATATATATATATACTAGCAGAAACGCCGCCCTCCTGGCGGTTCATTCACTAGGCCACGGTAGGACGCCACCCTCCGGGAGGCTCCACATTGTCTCACTGTTCAGTCCCCAAAACTTCTTCTTCCATCAATAGTTCATTAACGGTGTATGTAAGTTCCACCATGTTTTTCACTACAACGGTACAGCAAAATAATTTTTGTTTAGCATTAAACTGTTATTATTGTATTGTCTAATCATCACTACATATAACACCACCCATCATCACTACATATAGCATCATCCATCATCACTACATATAACACCATCTATCATCACTACATATAACACCATCCATCATCACTACATATAACACCACCCATCATCACTACGTGTAACAACATCCATGATCACTACATATAACATCATTCATCATCACTACATATAACACCATTCATCATCACTACATATAATACCATCCATCATCACTGCAGATCGGTAAAGTAGTTTCCGAGATTCTCGTGCGGACACACAAACAAACACACCACACACAAACAGACATACTTCTTTGTTTTATATAGATAGATATATATGTAATATTCAGAAATTTCGGGGTGATATTTAGAGACGTTAGTAAGTAAATACTAATATGGCGATACGCTGAGTCATTCAAGCCACGCAACAGGTTGACTGAGCGAGGGTGGCTCCCACGCCTAGACGTAGTGAGCGTATCTGGAACTAGGCCTATACAATATTAAATGTAATTTACCGAATTGTTATGGACGCGAATCATGAAATTAAATGACATTTATTAAATTTAAAATTATTTTAGATCGTTTCTCAGTCTAAATATGTTACGTGTGTCCCAACAAAGCTATTAGTTATGCGGGAAAATATGTCACATAGGCCCAAGCCTTGGGAAAACACGATGCTGGCTGGTCCTCAGTCAGACAATAGCTGTTCGTCCAGACGGACGTCCTCTGCGCGTCCGGCCAGGAAAAACAACCACGTGGCCTAGTCTCGTTGCGTGCACAGCTTCATCAGTGTTGCAAGTAAGTTTATTCGATCTCAGACAAGGTTTAGATAGGGCGGAGAAGAAGTTAACAATAGCTAACAGAGGGTTTATTGCAGGGATTCTGTAGAGCTCACGCGGTCGAGTTGAGCAGTTTGAGGGGTGGAGCGGAGTGAGCTGTCTGTGTTGACCACTAGTTAGCGAAGTTTTAGCTGGGACATCCCGAAGGAACGAGTGTTGCTGACACCTAACTACGTGGGACCAGCGTCCGCCCTCGGTTGACGATCGTTTGTGGTCACCAGATCTCCCCCACCTTGGTTCACAACACCACATATCTTCAGTCAGTTTATTGAAAACCTTTTACTAAGGGGAAAATAGAACCCACCTCAGCTGGGCA